GTATTTGGATGTCACCCTAATTATTTGTCTCAAATTTCTTCCCCCGAAACGACCCAGTTCAATTTTGTAAAGTGTCAGTGGCTGCTTTTTGTCAATTTTTGGCAGATTTCAAACTTTGACTTAAATGTGTTGGAACTAATCAGGGCACTCAATTTCAGCTTCGGGTCTCAGAATTGGTTATGACGCTAGAAAAAGAGACGGTAGCTATTTTGGAAGATGGAACAGATATTATGACGTAGGCAGCAATAACACTTTCATCACAATCAAGGAATTATCGAAACAATGATTTTGATGAGAAGCTTTTCGGCTATTGGTCACCAGAATAATCGAACTGCGATAATGAACTTAAGTTGCTAATTATGATTCAAGTTTGGAGACTTTAAATTTATCGTTATCAAAACTAAGATTAGAAAAAAACACGCTACTAAGGAGCAGCTTAATGGACATTGGAAAACCGAAGTGGTTTGCACAGCGGTGTTCTAAAAATATCAGCTTTTTTCCGTCATTTTTATCATTACCAGTTGCGTGCGTAGAAATTTGGGGGTGGGGGTTGAAAAAAATTGAAAAAAATTTGTCGGCTTTTAAAAAAAAACTTATATTGGCGCCGAAGGCCAGCCACTAATGTTGATGTTGACCATCAAATAATCGATCTCGTAAATTTACATATAACAAAGGTGGGACACTTTGGAAAAATTTGGCAACCAGAATTGAGGGGGTAGTACGTCGCAAATAGATTCCCTCAAAAACTATGACCTCTGCGCAGCAAATGACGGAGATTACGAATGAAAAGTTTGAGCTGAATATTAAATATTTTTAGGGGGGGTGAAATTCGAAATCGACAAAATTAGCTTGTGTTAAAATGGCACTATCTTTTCTGATGATCAATTTTAACCGTATGATATCCCGTACCCAACGAAGGCTGTTTTTTTAGATAAAAATCTTATATAGGTTATCTAGCCAATTTTTTTCGTATTTTCTGTACAGAATTGATCCATTTCTTTCTTAGTTTAGAAATAAACAATTTCTAGAAAGAATAACCTGAAATCAGTTCACTGCTCAACCGCAACGAAATAAACATGCTTCTAGTATACACAATACCCGTAGCAATACAAAGCAAATTAACTCTTGTTTTAACAAGTGTTGCCATGCATTAGATTGCTAAAGCTATCGAACAGGATCCCGTCAATTGGCATAGCAATTAGCAAAATGCAAGGGTAGGCCTGGAATTCGATCCCAAGGAGGAGACTGTTTTTCTAGCAAGAAATGACCTAGATTTAGCTAATTTCTGATCATGCCAGCTTTATTTAAACAATTCACTAACAATTTCTAGCTTTGTTTAAACATTTCACAAACCATTTTTGACCAAAAATTTAGATTAAATCTAAAGTATTCCAGGTCAAAAATAAAGACTTTTTTCGGTATGGGATATCAATTCTGGATTTTGGGAACCAAGTTTAGGCTTACGATTAAGTTTTTAAAAAACAAGCCCAGATGACTCCATAAAGATTATAACGTTCAAATTTTGCTTTTTTGGCCATGCAGACAAGCATTTGCTTTTGAAAAAACTACTTGCACATTTCTCAAATTGACACCGTCACAATTAAAGAATCTGGAATTAGTTTTCAGTCTGTGGCAAGATGTCATTCATGGGGAAATTGGCTTCAACTCAAATTTAAAATAGAATAGGTTTCGGTTGAAAATGTGTGTCTTCGATTGAGGAGCTTGTAGACTTTTGAGGTCCAATTTATGAAAACGTTTGTAGCAATAATGAAAAAAGATGAGCTTTTGTTCACTTGTTTCATTACTCAGTTCGTGTACAATGAAATTATTCGGTCTCTGGAGACGAGCTCTTGCATCAACAGCAGGATTGAAAAAGTTAACTTTCCTCCAATTGCATCCTTGGAGCAGACAACAAATTCGTTTCCTCCTTGTTACTTCATAGGATGTTAATAGGGACGTAAAAAAGTTTTGCAACGCTCCATCATGATGAGTTGTGGAGAAATTGATGCGCAGTAGCAAGTGGGTGTAATACGTGGTCATCAGTACTCGCAAAAAAAACATCAAATGAGATTTTGGCAGCCACGTTGTTTAGTGGAATGATTATGCAAGTAATCGGCTAGTTTCATAATTTTGAGGCACGACAAAACGTTGACCGAAAGCGCCATTGTAAGCACTAAATGTCCAAAAGCGATGAGGCTGTTGCAAGTGATCGAAGATGTCCCTTACTTGAACATGCATTCAAATGACCGCATGATTAGAATATTGTAAAACGAACGCTAGTGGTCTTGTTTGGGTCTTCCATCCCACATGCACATGCATATAATCGTGTAAACTATTATGGCAGCAAATTAAAGCTATTATTTAACCGTTTTTTGGTGACTTCAATACAGTTTGGAGCTCGAAAGTGTTTGTCTGAAAATTACATTCTTGCTCTTGCATTTAGGCAAAGATTGTTTTTCTGAAAAACATACACAGCAATTTATTTCAGAACGTCTGATTTCCAAGTAACTTACCAGAAAACCCATAGAATTTGAAAACACATATTTGATATTAGCTAAAATTTTAGATATTTTAAAAAGTTGAACTAAGATTTTGGCAAGGTTTTTGAACAATCTTGACAAGAAAACATTTGGTGAATATCTAGAAAAACGCAAGGGGTAAAATTGGATCAATTCAATTAAGCAAATCATAGAAATCACAAACATAGCGCCGTTTGGGCCAAAATTATGTTATAAGAAGTCAGTTTTGGCCAAACAAATCATTTTTTTTCGCACAAAGCTATCATCAAGAAATCATTATATCATCAAGGTAAATCAGATTTGATTTCAAAACTCAGTGAGAAAAACCACGCAAAACATCTGAAATAATCAGATTTTGGATACCAAAATGAAATCGAGAAAACCATCAATATAGATCAGATTTTGCGCAAAATTAGTTGTGACAAGCAGTATTTTGACCAAGCAGTATAACGAAAATCAAAATTTGGCCAGAAAAACAACTAAGAGAACAATAAATTTCCTCATGAAAATCAAATTTCAAGCTCAAAACAAGGATAACCAATGCTCTGCAAGCACAGAATGTTTCGACCATATTCATATAAAATTACATAGAAAACTTTTTTCATGTTATTTTTTTTCATATTAGTGTTGTTTTTTGTTCGTGTTGTGATGAAAGGATCTGAATAGAATATGAGAATAAGTTATAACTGACAGTCACAGGAAAAAAAAACGATATTGTCAAAAAATGACTTGACGAAAAAAAACATTGTTCAAAAACGAAACTCTTTTTTTTTGCAGAAACTATTTTGATTTATTGAAAAATTTGTATTGAAAATACGTCAAGTTTAAAACAACTTTTTTCAAAAAATTATAGGTAATCCGGTTATCATGAGCCTGCTCGCATGCTTTAATTGCTCGAAATTAAGCACAAACTCAAATTTTTAAACCGGTTTTTTATCGAAACAGCGACAATTTTTCGAAAAATTTTGAAATATGTTCGAATCAGGATTGAAAAAACCAATTCCAATAACTGTTTGTGAAAGTTTTTTTTTGAAAACCAAACTAAGCTTACTCGCTGGCCTCGTTTGCTCGAAATTAGACCAAAAACTGAAAACTTCAAACCGGTTCGTCTCAACACTGAGGAAATGATTTCAAAATTTTTTAAGGTCGTTGAAATGGCGATTGAAAGCGCTTTAATATGATATATCGAGTCACCCATTCCGATGATTTTTTGTAATTCTTGATTTTGCGTGGAAAACTAAAAACAATGAAAAAAAAAACAAGGATAACCGGTTACTGGGCAAATGGTACAGAATGTTCCGACCATAATCTTACAAAATACAACAAGTTTTTTCAAACTATTGTAGTTTTTTCGGCATGGTGCGATAAAAAGAGCTTAAAAAGGAGACTAGGTATATTCGGCAGTTATATAAAAATAAGAGAAATGAAAAACATTCAAGTTTTTATGGAAAAAATACTTAAAAAAGTAGAAAAAATATATATAAAAAAAATTATTTTTCATGTTTTAGAGTTTTTTGGTTTTTTGAAAATCTTGATTCTAAAAAGGCGCTAAAATCTGAAAGTAACTAACTTTACTCAAGTTCAACTAAGTTTTGACGTTTTAAATTCAGCTATTAAAAGCTTTTAAGCAGTTAAAATAAGATTGCTGGCTCGCTTTATTCGCTCGAAATAAGACAAAAAATCAAAAACTTCAAACCTGTGTTTCTCGACACGGGGAAAAATTTGTTGAAATCTTTAAATGTGGTTCGAATCACGACTGCAAGGGTTCTAATATGATTTTTCCCGCAACCTAGTCCGGTGATTTTTTTTGTGGTACCTAGTTTTCGTGAAAAAAAAGGAAAAACTAAAACACACCCGAACACAAAGTTCCTGCCCTTTTTCAATGGTCGGTAAAAAACTAAAACACATCCAAATTTAAAATTTCTGTGGCTTAAACATATTTCAGTATCACCATATGATAGTGCGTTGTACCTATCAGACAGCACATATATTATACACACACATGAGATTTGAAAGTAAACATTGTTGCTGCTTTCAAAAGTGTCACTCACACTTTTCGACAAGTTCAGCAACGCTGCTATTTGAAATGACCGGAATTTAACTTTTAGCTTATTTGTACAATATGTACAAAAACAGTCTATACACATGAGATTTGAAAGTAAACATTGTTGCTGCTTTCAAAAGTGTCACTCACACTTTTCGACAAGTTCAGCAACGCTGCTATTTGAAATGACCGGAATTTAACTTTTAGCTTATTTGTACAATATGTACAAAAACAGTCTATACACATGAGATTTGAAAGTAAACATTGTTGCTGCTTTCAAAAGTGTCACTCACACTTTTCGACAAGTTCAGCAACGCTGCTATTTGAAATGACCGGAATTTAACTTTTAGCTTATTTGTACAATATGTACAAAAACAGTCTATACACATGAGATTTGAAAGTAAACATTGTTGCTGCTTTCAAAAGTGTCACTCACACTTTTCGACAAGTTCAGCAACGCTGCTATTTGAAATGACCGGAATTTAACTTTTAGCTTATGCGTAGTTAATTTGTACAAAAACAGTCTATATTAAATAAAAAATAGCATCACGTATTAGGATGCGAGCCTCTATAAACTGTATACCCTATATTCCCTGTATGCTCGACTGATTGACGTTTTCTCAAAAATCCCAAGTAAAGAGTACTCAATGTACTTTTTATTTGGACTCAATGCTGTAAATAAAACCTCAAACAATTGTTTCATCTGAACTGCAACGAACAAAGATATCCTGTGACTATAAGGAGTGATGTTTCATCATGCCAAAAAACATAAGTGCTTTTAAAGTGAACACTCCAAAAATATGTTATACAAAGTTGAGCATCCATTTATGTGCTTCTATTCCAGTAAAGCATCCAAAACATATTGAAATCCAACAGGGAAACGTAGTCGCACACTTTGAACTAATTGTGTTTTTATTTTTATCTTTCTTATAAATTGAGCTACCCAAACTGATAAGTAGCTTCTCAGATGCGTCTTTTGGGCGACCAACTGACGATGATGCAGAGGGCGAAACAGACAGTGAAGACACTGGTGGTTGTGACGCTCTTCACTCTAATGGGCAACTTGGTGGATGACTTCTACACTAACCCTCCTTCGCCCGCCTTCATCATGAGCAGAGTTCGCCATTTAGTGTCGACTCTGGTAAGATACACTTTGTGGTCTCTTTAATTATTACCCCTGATGGTACCTTTAGTAGAATAATAATAAGAAGAAATGAATTCAGAAGTAGGTAAAAATTCACTGCGTCAGGGACACTATACAGGCAGATTCACCTATCTAGTAGCATCCCAGTTCCCTTTAAATGAGGAAGGATTTGTAAGATCCTTTATTGTTCCGACTTTCGATACGAAAGTAACGGAATATTTGTGCTCGGGGTGGGTTTTTTTTTTTCTTCAGACAAATTTCGACTTTTTAACTAGCCATTTTTGACGGAATTTCTTATATCATTCGAAAGCAATTGTTCACCTGAGCTAAAATTTGAAAAGATATTTCACCTGTGATCATTTTTCGTTAAGTTATGAGGGTTTAAAGATTGCGATTTTGGCCATTTTGCCCAATTTGGGACAATTAACGCGCGATATAATTCGCGCCATTAATGCGTAAGCGGAGATTTAATCCGTCTTAGAAATGGTTCCAAATTGGTTGAACGAAATTTATTTGCCATAATTGATTTGTTAAAGGAACGAAATCTCTCTTTTTGTACTTTATATGGCGAGTGGGGGGATGATTTTCATTAAAAAAATTCAAATTTTAGAAAAAAATTTTTTCATTTTATTTTATTTCATTTAATTTTTTTATGTTATTACTGCTGCTCCATAAACCTTAAAAGGCAGTCGGAACATTCAGGGCTTCGCCCTGATACGAGCAGTCTTGTTTAATTAGAAAACAACCACTCAAAATTCCGATTGTCCCCTAAGTGTGCCACTTTAAAGTTTGCAAAAAAATTCTGAAAATCAAGGGCAGCATTTTTCATTAAGTTTTTTGGGGTTTAACTGTTTTTCTGTGCAATTTTAAAACATAACATTTCAGTAAAACATTACATTTAGCATAACAGAAACAACATTAGTAAAATTGTGAAGTTTCTAGTTTTACCGGCGAAATGCCTTCTGTCTTTGACCGTTTTGAGCGACAACGAGATATTCAATCAACATCCAACACTATTTTAGAGATTATTTTGGCAATTTGTCCTGCAATTATTTATAAATCTGACAGAGGATAAGTTCAAAAACAGTTCAATTTTGCGTTGACCAAAAGCGTTTCTTAAATGTTGAATTTTTGTTGTGAAAAAAAAGGCTAGTAACACTTTTTCTAAGCGAGAAGAGTTATACTCTCATACATTTTTGATGTACAACCGTACGCAATCAGACCATATGAGGAGACTTACGTTGCATAAGTTGTATAAAACAGTAACAAACTTTTAATTGGAAAAATACATAGGGCGCGGTTTATTGCTTAATTGAACTTTGCATCTTTTTCCACCTTGTGTCGATATGATCTCTAAAATGGAGGCCTTTGTCTACAAAAGTTCTACGTTCTTTGAATTTATCAGTTTTTTCTAGATCATCACCACTAAATGCCACAGAACTTTCATTTCAAAATGTTTTACCAAACTGCATAAATTTCGATTCCGGTGATCTGATTTAATTTTGACTAAAAATTTCCACTGATTTAAAATTGCTCAAAACTTTTTATTGTTCCGACTTTCGATACGAAAGTAACGGAATATTTGTGCTCGGGGTGGGTTTTTTTTTCTTCAGACAAATTTCGACTTTTTAACTAGCCATTTTTGACGGAATTTTTTTATATCGTTCAAAAAGTATTGTTGTCCTGAGCTTAAATTTGAAAAGATATTTCACCTGTGATCATTTTTCGTAAAGCTATGAGGGTTTAAAGATTGTCATTTTGGCCATTTTGACCAATTTGGGACAATTAACGCGCGATATAATTCGCGCTATTAACGCGTAAGCGGAGAGTTAATCCGTCTTAGAAATTGTTCCAAATTAGTTGAACGAAGCTTGTTTGCCATAATTGATTTGTTAAAGGAACGAAATCTCTCTTTTTGTATTTTATATGGCGTGTGGGGGGATGATTTTCATTTAAAAAATTCAAATTTTAGAAAAAAAAATTTTCATTTTATTTTATTTCATTTAATTTTTTTATGTTATGTCTGCTGCTCCATAAACCTTAAAAGGCAGTCGGAACATTCGGGGCTTCGCCCTGATACGAGCAGTCTTGTTGATTTTCTCACTCATTGTCACGAAAAATAGTGAATAACCATCATTAACAAGTGATGCAGAACAAAGCCTAATATAATTTGTTACGTCAAATACATATATCAAAAATAAGTGGTCCTAAAACTGATCCCTGTAGCAAACCATATGCAACACTAAGTCTCAGAATTGTCGCAACCATTTCAACATATTGCAAATGATTGGAGAAAGAGTTTCACAGCGAATTCAATTTTGCTCCCCTAAGCCCGTAATCAATTTTTTGCCAAACATCGAGTGATCTACAGTATCGAAAGCTTTTTTTGTATCACTAAAAAGAGCCACTCCCTACTTTTCTTCTTTCTAATGCCACTATTAGCAGTTTTTTTTTACGAGCAGCTCCTTGAGCAAAAAATTGATTTTTTTTTCGGAAACCAAATTGACCCTGTATTAAAAGATTGAAACGGTATAGGTGTTTTTCGAAAGTTTTACTGGAGCCGATGAATGAAAAAGATTTTTAATATTTTCTGAAAGTTATTGCCTTTGAATTTGCGTATGTCGCTAATATTTTCATCAATTTTACCAATTTTTTTTCTTGATTCGTCCCACCGTTTCTGTGTTTAATTTACGCGAAACGGTTGAAAGTTTTTTATACTTATTTGAATTTAAAAACGTCAAATTTTATGAGTATTATCTGCGAAAAAAAGTTATTGAGCCAAATTTTTTAAACTTTTACGTTCTTGGGGGCGTCAAAACCCTAAAATATTTTTTTCCACCGTTGGCTGTCCAAGCAATGATTGGCAATTTTCCATAAAACGTAAGTGATAATGATTTAAACGTTCAAGGTTTTGACATTGACGAAGTCTTGAAATGAGATACAATGATCTATGCAGGTCACACTCTGCAAAATTTCTCTAGTTGTTTCACTATTTCTGACTGAGAAATCAAAAGCAGAAGGCTAGTATCTTATGCATTTTTCTGCGATTGATTTGCGGAAATCAAGCCATTATTAGTTTCCGAATTAAAAGTCGATTTTCTCTGAACTTCTTATAAAATTTCAGCATAATATCCAAACTCTCAAAAAAACGATCAAATTTGAAAGCAGGTGGTTTTTATGTTACTTATAATTTGAACACTTTTGATGTTCCTGAGCTATTGATTCGACTAAATTGTCAAGGCCACACTGAGTTGCAAATTTTTTCCATCCCGTAAACATCCTTCTTTTGCCACCCTTGTCGATTGACTATTTAACTTTTATGATAATTTTAAATGGTATACAAATGGATCACATCATTATCATTGAGCCATGTTTCGCAAAAGGTAATATTATGAGTTTTTTTAGTGAAGTAACAAAAAATCGTTGCTGATTATGATGGCCGCGAATTGATTGTTATTTAAGATCAAATTATGTTTGTCTTTTTTTGTTGATTAATGAATTCCTGGGACACCAACATTTCATGTGAAATTAGTAACCAAAATCAAAAATAAGATATATTTAAGTAACGCTGGCTGCATTTAGTTATCAGATATCTCGGTCATGTTTGTAATTCCTGCGCGTATCTGTGTATCCTCGGATATCCATGAATAGAGCTCTGAACCAAAAAGCATGTTCATCATGACCAATTAAAACCAGCTGATCATAAAAAATTTTCATCGTTGTTCAAATTGGGCGGAGTTTTCGATAATTTATCATGTTTCCGCCTGGAAGTTGTATGCTTAATATTCCGCACTGTTTCTAATAGTAGACTGAGCATTAGATAACTGCTTCTTTTTGTTAGTTCCTTTTTGAATTTTTTTGACAGCTTTGCTTTGATCTATACTTCTTTATTATCCCTTTTTTCCATATAGACATGTGGAACAACACCATTGGGTCCATTAAATCAAATTTAGCGTTGACTGTTATATGTGATTGTTTTCAATTCAGTGCTATTTGCATAATACATTATTACCCTTTCATCAATTCCAGAACACTTCTCAAGAACAACAGTTTTTTAAACTGTTGGATTTTGAAGGTTTTACTAAATTTTTTTACTTCCAGTAGTTCTGTTTTTTGTGCGAAACTGGAAGTTCTCAACTAAAACTGGAGGCGGCTCATCAGAGTTACGGATAAGGCTCCAGCTCATGACAAGCAAGCAATTCAGCAGACGTAATTTTAAAACCCATAAAACGTCCGGTGAAAACTCAATAACATACGAATTAAAATTACTACTTGGCAATAACGGAAGTTGTAACGCTCAGTATCATCAACTCTCTTGCGCAACTTTGCTTTTTTTTCGCAGTTCTCGGATAGAATCAGATTGATGGCATGCATCGGTCATACTATTTATAAAAAGTATAAAAAACTGTTCAATGTTCAGAGATTCACGTTGTTCTAGAATGAGCAGTTTGACCTTCAACTTAGAGTTTAAAATTTTGTTTTCTTTTTGCAGTGAAATTAAAGTATTACTTTCTAGAACTGCATTTCTTCTTAGAACAAAGAATAACCACCATGATGGACAAACTCATCAGTTAAGTCAATTTCAAATTGTACCTGGTTCAGTAATGGTCAGAGTTGCAAGAACATTTTCATGTTTCCGGGCTGACGTGGCAAGGATAGTCAAGGATTTACTGATTTACAGATTTACAGCAAATTTATCTAGTGTATAGGTTTGGCTTAGAAAACCCTCAGATGAAAGTTTAATTTAAATCAAAAGCAGATTAAAGTGTATGGGTTTTGAGATTAAGAAATAGCTCAATTCAAAAAATAATTCAAATGTGACTTTTTGTCGTAAGATTATGGGGGTTTGAAAACTGTTTGTTTGGCTAATTTGGGACAATTACCATGCCATATATTTCGCGCTATTATTGTGTAATCGGAGATTTAATTCGTCTTTCAGATTGTTCCAAATTGGTTGAAGCAGGCTTTTTGTCATAAGGGCTAAGTTTCTAGGAGTC